GAGCAAATTGCGGCTGCTTTGAATTTGGATCAGGAAATCGAAAAAATCCTAATTTTAGTCCGCAAAAATGAACACATCGCTGCTCATTACGCTGGCGGTATCTAAAAAAAATTAGCACACTTTTGCCAATTTTTGTTGCCTTTTGCTCTCCAGGAGTCAATGAACGTTTGATTAGATCCTGAAAAATCGTCCCTTTAGATGGAAAGCATTCAGTTGAAAATGGAACAGAGCGACTGCGTCTTATCTAATCGGTCGAGGAGAAGAAGCAAGTCATTTTACAGCAGATAAGGGGAGTTCAAGAGCGATTTTGGTGGGCATCTGGTCGGGTCAGTCAACATTTTGAGAAGCTGTCAGCTTTGACCTCTTTCGCTAATATGAGCGGCGATTTGTTAGTTTATCTAAACGACTTTGGTGACCCATTGAAATGTTTGCGCTCACTGCCAAATGCTTCACAATCTGCTAAAAATACCATCTAACAATCCTTGTGTAGGCAACGCAAGCTCGTTTCCCAAGAGGTTTCTAAGAGGAGTTCAAACAGGAGTAAACCGACATGGTATAACCCGCGACAATAAATTCTTCACTGCTCGTTTATCTGAGCCTGGAAAAGTTGGCCTAATGGAATGGAATGCGTTAATAAATGACAATGCAATCATTTCGGAACGTGACGAGACGCTGTTAAAATTAGGTTCCCCCCAAATTACGGCCATAAAATCTTCTTTAATCGGTCGTAACTTGATAACGGAAAGTTTCCTCGGTGCCGTTGCTCTGTTTCCTATTATACAGGGTGCTGGCAGAGGAGGCCTAATTAATACGGTTTGTTCATATAGCAAAAACGTCCCTCGAAAATTTTGCGTTTTGAGTTCATTTTCTCCCTTTGGGGATTTTTACGCAAAAAGATGCTCTTCATTTATTTCGATACATTGAGCGGTTTCAAAGATTAATTGATTTTTTCCCAATCAGTTTTAAAAACTCTACAGGAATTAGAGTAAACTGCAATGAGTTAAAAACACTTGCTTTGGTAGATGTTCATAATGAGCTGTCGTTAAAAGTAAAAATTGAATTCATATAAAGTTGCCGAACCTAGTACCTCACAAAAACACCAAAAAGTTTTGCAGGAATTTGCGTCAAAAGCGGCTAATTCTTGATAAATAGCGTTCCCCATGAGGGGGACACTTACTGCAGCAGGAACCAATTTTAACATTGTTCAAATATTTCGTTGGGTGGCCATTCTGTAGGAAGGAACAGGATTACCCGGCCAGATGTTGCAGGGTTTATACCTGCACTACGGAGAAATTTAGTTATCTATTATCTCCAGCATAGGTCTGGTACCAAACACTTAGTTTCCAATAAATCTATTGTATGGACAAGGTTCTGCATTGTAGGCATTTCTGTTCTCCTTTGGCATTGTTATTGTGTATCGAGAACAAACCTTGCATGCCGTTCGAAAAAGTGCAGGTACAATATCGACGGGCAAAGTAAACAGTCAGTAATTTCCATTATCTACACCTTCTTACTTTTGGGCATTTATATGGTTGGGTCTTTCGCACCTACGTAACTTTACAGGTTTTGGCAATTTCAATAAACCTCTCTCAATAAATTCATCTCGGTCTTAAGGGCAATGAGTTTAGGACGCAATTCTTTTAGGTGAAGGCTGATTTTCAATAATGTAAGGCTAATTTTTTTTAAATAGTTCGGATTTTTTTAAGAGGCAAGGGAAATTGTTTTCAGTGTAATTAATTTTCAAAATATTTGCTCAGTTTGGTATTTTTGGATGTCTTAAACTGCGATTGAAGGAAACCGAAAAATCTCTTAGTTAACGTTAATTAAAAGTAATAGTACCATTTTTGCAATCAATAAATTGTTATTTAAGCAGGGAAAAATGACTAGAAATTATCTAAGGAGTTGCATAATTTTTTATGTATCTATTTTCCACGTAAGGAACATTTCCCGTGAAAGCGAAGACTCGGACTTGGAACTGATGCTTTAAATACTGAATTTTAGGGAAATTAACTTTTGCCTGATTTTAAACGAGTATAAAATGTACTTTGATAGATCCAGGGCTTTCAGAAGTAGTGTTTTCGCTCCCATTTTCAGACACAAAAAAATTGCAATAATTGGAGAAATATTTTAAAAACTGTGAAAAGAAAGCACTGACAAGAATTTCCAGAGTTTTCTCTGACCGATTTACCAATAATTTTTTCCTGTTGTCACTGTAAACCTGCTGGAAGTCGTTTAAATCTACTGTACTGGTCAGTCAACGAAAGCTGAAGACGATTTGCAGGACTCGATTAACGGATTGTTAAAAACCGCAAGTAACGAGCACGGCATTAAGTTTTTTCAGCCTTAGGGCCGGGGCAAAAAGTGGCTAATTTAATTAATCCAATTAATAATATTCAGGCGATTGAGGAAACCGCGCATTTCTTTGACCGATCGGAATGCCGTATTGTCAGAGAAGGACCAGCAGCGACGGCTTGGGATCCTCTTTAGTGCCTTTCACATTCCGCAGTTGGGCGACCCCAAAGCGGATTTGCAAGCCATTATTAATTCCGATCGTCATCGAGAGCTTATTTTTGCGCAAACGATCCAACTGGTACCACCAGGACCACATCCCGACTCATCAGCGCTCTACATGTACTAATCACATACCAGACAACCACTAAGACCGCGGGTTATTGGTTCTATTACTCATTCGGAATAATCAGCGATTGCGCCATTCATCGTCTAAAATTAGACCATCGCCCAGACGTTGTCTCTCAATTATTTTTCGGGATGAGACCAAAGTTTCCAGAATTGTCTGTTGCTTACTTTTGAACCTTTCCCTAGGCTTTTTCTTGCAGCTCACGCTCTAGGACTGGAGGTTGCGTTGCAAACGTTGCGAAAATCTACAGGATAGAGTTGATACCTATACATTTTTGCAGGGCGCCGCTGCTGCTTTAGAAGACATCGAAAACATTCTTTATTTCCTGAATTTGTTTAATTTTTTTTTGCATAATGGCAAATGAACAAATTATCTAGTGTTTTAAGCGACACCAATTAAAATATTGTGTTTGTGGGCGGAACGGACATGTCATTTTCAAACAGAAGCCTGCGGAAGATGCAAAAATATTCGGTCGCTTGGCGCTAAGTTGACTTTTCACACCAATATGAATTTTAGAATTACCGCATATATTATATATAAACGAAGAAATTTGAATATTTTTGTTCTAACCCAGATGTTACTCGTTTCGGCTTGGAAAATATGACTTTTTGCAAAAATCTCTGGCAATTTTGCCTCACTCCAGAAAAATCTTTGAATTTGAATTGAATTTGCTCGTAATATTGTGCTGTCGATTTTGGCTTCCATGTGTGGACTGAGTCAGGAAAAATCGCCACACACAAAAACCTTAATGACGAATCCTTGACAAAATTCTAATGAAACAAAAAGTATTGAAACCATTTGTTTTAACAGACCGCAACAGACAGATTTTTTCTGGAATCCTTTCCATCATCGACTTTATGGTAGCTTTGTTGATTTTTCTGACGGTAGAGTTCGACTTGCCAGAAACTTCTAGGGAAACTTTGACTTTTTCCTAGTCCTGAAATCTTCATACTCCGGACTAACGTGCTGCGATAAATTATAGACCCGGAAGCTGGGAGAAGTGAGAAGAGCGTACGTTTCGTCATCCATCAGACAGCAATTTTTTTTGAAAAAATCAGTGTTCAATTTTCGAGCCCGTTTCTTTGCTTCCAGATTCTTACTTGCCTTTCTGTCTGGTGTCGTCGGAACTTTATAAGTCTTCAAGCCCGTTTTGGTAGATATTCAACGTACTCACTGCAACATACTATATTGCCCATTTTCCGATTGGATAACGTGGGATTCTTCTCCAATTTCTCGACAACTTTTTTCACTGTTTGTGGGCGTGTAATCCCGAACCCACTTGTCTTTCGGTTAACATTTAATGATGAATTAATGCTTGAACACGATGGAGTTTCATGAAAAGTTCGAATTCAGGCACTTCTAATTCAGATGCCATTTCTCTACTAAAACATTAAGTTCGAAAATCTTTAGAGGTTCTATGGAAGAGCCTTTTATTATTGGAATTTTGTGAAGAGTTAGAACGGTTTTTCTGTGCAGCGATTTTTTGTGATTKGTTTCTGTMGGATTTAAATCAGRGGATTGGGCAGGTGATTTATGATTTAATTAGTTTTCGGCAGTTTTAAGGCATGCATTCGCACTATTCTTAGGTCTTCTGAGGTCTAAGGAATTTTAAACTCTTCCCTTTARAATGCTGTTTGCACAGCTTTTTTGCCGGACATTTTTTTCGCAAGCAAAAAGTTGTGACCCGTCATTGTCTCTTGAATGGCTCAGGAACAACAGACGAGTGAAGACCCAAATTACTCAGAGACATGAGGTTGGAACATCGTATAATTTTTYRCTTTAAAAAAAATTATTCTAATCTAGTCACCGACTGAGAAAATATTCGCATCTTGTCTGACTCATGACAAAATATTACATTCCTCCAATACTCTTCTGCTTTCAAGACAATTGTTAGGCAAACTGTTGACGCTGACACTGTTTTTACTAAGTCAAGGCTTTTCCTTGCAACTCCATCCAGAATATCCATTAGGGTGGATACATTTGCGAACAATTTTGCAACTTGAAGTTGAAGTTGTGGGGCACTAAAAAAACCACTAGTGAACTCGACTTAAATTTGGTTTGTTGATTTTGCTACCCATTTTAATTGGATCGAATTTGGCTGCTAAACCATTTGGTTCCTGCGTTAAAAAACCCTTTTTGAATGCACTATTCATGAATTATTTGAGATTAAATGTACCACAAATTGTATATTCATTCGCAGGGTGTCCGATTATTTTTGTGTTTTAAGTATTAATGAAAAGCTAGCACAGATGCGTGAAAACCGCATCATTTTGTTGCTGCTCCATTGAAGGCTTTTTTTGAAATTTGATATTTTCAGCCGAAACTGACCGAACAGTGAATTAACGTTTTTTTTTTCTTACAGAAGAGGACGAAATTGATGTGGTGTCATGTTCGGCGACCAAACTTGCTATCATCCCACAAGCCCCCATCAAGCCCAAGGAGTCACCCAGCATAGAATTCCACAAACACGTATCTCCCTTGAAGAATAAGACCAGCATTAAAACCATAATGCCAGTAAAGACTGAAGAAGTTCCAGTTGCCTTGCCAGGTCCCAGTGGTCTAAGTAGTGGTAGTAAGGGACCCGCCAAAATCGCCACAATCGCCAAAATCGCCACAACCGCCACAACCGCCAAAACTGCCGGTAACACTAAAGCTACTCGTGGTAAAAAACGTAAGCGAAAGCAGGGCGGAAGCAAAACTCCTGTAGATAAACGGGACCAGCACAATGATATGGAGCGGCAAAGACGAGTGGGTATCCGAGTTGCTTATGATCACCTTAAGGATCAATTGCCTTACGACGTTCGATCGAAAAAATTATCTAAAGTGAATATTTTGACCGAATCTACAAAATATGCAAACTACCTGACCGCTACCGAAGCCCAGCTACAGGAGCAGATAAAATTACTTGAGAACGCGCAGAAGAAAATGACTCTCGAGAAGGAGGAGCTCGTTAAATCTTTGAATCCGAAAGGTATCCCTTTGTAAGAAAAGTTCCTAAAATGATTCAAATTTAATAGAACTGCTATTAAAATTAAACTGTTTTAGGAATTATTTAGTATTATTTTCAAGTACTTTTAGTACTTTAATATTTTTAGGTGATTTTTTTATTGATTTACGTTTAATTCAATGAAAAATCACAGAAGAAACATCATGTGTAACGCGCCGATATACAGGGTGTCCCGTAAGCTCATGATCAAAAGGGACTGCGATATTCTTTGGACCAAAAGAAGACGATCTGACCTAA